CTTATTCTATTGAAGGATTAGATGAATGAATGGATTACTGATCTAGGTTATCAAGGATCTCTAAGGAACTTGTCCTGTATCAAAACTAGGTTATCAAGGATCTCTAAGGAACTTGTCCTGTATCAAAACTCAGACTGGCTAAGGGTTTGAATCTGGCCTCTGTTCAGGGACTTGTTCTGTATCTCTGCACAATTGAAACTGACTTGTTCTGTATCTCTGCACAATTGAAACTGATTTGTTGGTATTTTGTGGTGTAAATGTGGCGCGCGCCGGTGTAAAAGTGTTTTTATGTTTGTTCCTGTTTTGTTTTGTTTTCTTTAAAAAAAAGAGAGAGAGACCATTACTATAAATTTTAGGATATTTGTTTTTTTGCTAAATGGTTAATCATGAGCATGACTATTGAACTATATTAAATCTGCAGTGCTTCTCATAAACCTTTCTAGATGTAAAATTGAATAATAAATCTTGTGTTTTAAATGCCCTTTAAGTGAAAATTAATCTTAGCAGTTAATCTAAGAAAATTAATTCATTTTATATAAGTATACTAGTGTACCGATCTAGACTTACTTTAATATCCCACGTGTTCTATCAAATGGAAAACTAATTTGGCAAATACTAATCATGTTAGGGTGCAATATGATTTTTATTTTACTGGACTCCAAAAGTACAAGGTCCTTTTCTTATAATTCAAGTTTTTATATTAACTACAGAGATATATCAAGAATACTTGTTTTCAGAATAAAATTTTTATGCCATTGCACCAACTCTGTTTATAGAAACCATACTTATCCTAGGAATCTTTCATCTAATTTCCCTAGGTTTTTCTCTGACAATCTTCAAGCAAGCTTCCTAAATTACAATGTTAATCTAAAGCATTACCTACGTTGTTTTATCCTAATTTAACACACATCAACATTCTAATTCATAATATGAAGCACTGTGAATAGTTAAATACTCTGATGCTAACAAGAAATAGCATAGGTGGAAAGATAAAATTTTGTTTCTCTCCCTATAGGAGGTAGTGATATTTTTTCTTTAGAGCAATTTAAAAAAGAAAAAAAAATTTTGTGTCAGCCTCAAAAACACAACTAACTCTGGTTGGTAGTCTGGCAGAACAGAAAGAACAGGGTCCTTGAGAAGCTGGAGTTAACCCACACTTGATGTCTATTTGTAATATACCAAAGTAGACTAATGGTTATGTCCCATTCTTATCCCCAAATTCTTCTGATGACTTCTCTGAGCACCCTAAGAATAATTTGGAGTCCCTTTGGTTATCCTGTGTTCCCTAAATTATTTATGTTGAAAACATTTGTTTTACGTTGGGGGAACTAGTAGAAAGACTAAATTAGGGAGTCTGAGTACTTTGAATATAAGATTATTCACAAAACCTTTCTGTTTTTACTCTTCTTGGTGGAATGCTTGATAAGCCTTTCAGTCACACAGGATATAATTTGAGGTTTGATTCCTGATGAGATACTTCAGGTAAAGATTGTTATGACAAAATAATCACATGATCTGAGATTATATAGAGGTAAAAGTAGGACACATTGCGTTTGCGTGGCACTTGGAGTTCCTCTTTCCCGGCTCTTAGGCTGCCTCAGTAGTCTCCAACATTTATTCATTGCTACCTGAGTCTAAGTTGCCTATAACTTCTTATACTGTGGCCACACCCCTAGTTTACTCCTGCATTGCTTATGAAGTAGCTGGTCAATTCCTTGTCTCCAGCCATACCTGTGCTGCTGAGGGACTCTTTAAAAGGCCCCCCTCCACACACACTTCTCTCCATCTATTCAAAGCACACATCCTTCCTCCAAAGCTGTTACACTTCCACAAATATTTCCCAAATGGTATCATAATTTAAAAGGGTTTCATCACTGACCCCTAGAGAACATTCTTTGGACCATGTGTGGCCCTGGAATTCCCAGAGATTGACCAGATAGCCTAAGTACTGAAATTAAATATCATAATTTCTAAGATTCCAAATGATAGATCCCAACCAATTAAAAAATAGGTATTTCATTGAATTTTAATTATCTACTGGTTATTTCCTACTTCCCAATGTTTTTCTTGGTCATGAATCATCATTCCAGTTTTGACCTTCCTATTCTAACTGCCTGAAAAAGTATTAATTACCTTATTTTTCTCCTTACTGCACAACTCTTCTAATACTTTTAAACAGTGATGGTAAATGTTTAACCACTTGCTCTGTAGGGTTGGGGATGGGAAGTGACCCAGGTCTGTATTGTTTGTCAATTTCTGTAGTATAAATACTCCCACCATGGCTGATTTGAAACTATATGAATGAATATGAAGTTGGAGTTGATCGTAGCACAATATTATATAGTATTTCAATCATAGAGATTCCATTGATTTGAATAACTTTAAGAACATAAATAATAATATTAAAATGTAGTAAAATAATTAGAAAGTGATGAGTTTTGAATAGTTATTACTTTTGTTTTTAATATAGTTTATTTCATTAAAGTTTTTATGTGCCTGTGTTTAACAACAGACTGGCAAGACTCTTTTCTGCTAAAAAAAAAAAATATGTGTCCTGGGTATTGTCTATTGGACCTCAGTAGTCATCTCTACCACCTTCTCAACATCCTCCCAATCATGGGAAATGGAAGAATAAAAACCACCTTTCCCAGAATTCTTTGCAGCTGGAATTTTGGATGTAATTTAGGTTCCACTGATGAGATGACCTGGTGTGAGGTTTAGAAAGCAGAAGCTATAGCTCTTCTGTTCAATAGTCAAGCTCTGGGAAACTGAATGTTGGAGTGTCTGACTCCAGGTTCTCCTCTGTAGCCTCTAGCTTTGTGGAAGTGGGGCAAGCTGCCTAGTGACAGCCCCTTGACTTCAGCTAGTCAGAGACTTACAATGCTTTTGTAATTACCTAATTCCCCATTTTAAACACCTGTCTGCTTGAAGCACCTACATTTTTTTTCTTCCTGCAGAGAATCTTGATATAACATGTATACGTAGCTGCTGCTTGTTTCCTTCATGTGACATCAAAAGGAAACATCAGAATAACCATTAGCACTGGCCTACTTAATCTGTTTGACTATATGGTTTCTCATTCTAAAGTTTCTCTCATGGTATTTTATATTTCATTCACATCCTAAAACTATGCTGTGGCATTACACAAATACTATTCTTTATAATTTTTTTCAATAGATCTACTGGAAAGAACTGAGGAAATGAATGCCTAGTTAAGTGAAGAGAAAGAGAATAATGGCTCTTTACTATTATTGCTATTTTTATAATATCAGAGCTCTAATGGTGAATAATGACTAGTCATTTTCTGTTTGTTTTTAATTTATATCTCCTCTCAAGTCTATTGGAATGGAGCTACATTTCAGGGAAAATGGAAAAAAAAACAACACTTGTTTTCCTTTTAAGAATACCCAAAGAAAGGAAGTCTGGACTTTCCTTTGTGAGCCTATTACAGTGTTTAACAACTTTTCTCAGAAAATATTCCTGACAACTATATCTAAATCTCTCTTTCTGCATTTTTTTTGGCTTGAGTTCATCCATGAGAGTAGGGAGAGAAGGGAATTAGGCAATGATACACATATTACTCTGAGATAAACTCTAGTTTTCATTTGTTTCCTATTTCTATCTTTCCTCTTATCCTCAGGACTTTATCTTTTCTTCAGGTCTCTCCTCCGTTGTTCTTGTTTTGTTTTTCCAGTTCTATCCAGCATCCTCTTAGAACATCTCCTTGCCAGATTTTTTCCTAATCACAGAACAAATTTGCTCCTGATGGAAGTCTTCTGTTTCAAAAAAAAATCATGTAATTATCTTATGGACAAAAATCTTTAGATATTTTTCCAGATAGTCCCTTGGTCTTCCCATCTCATTTCCTTCTGCTCTCTTTGTACCTGATAATGAATTTGTTCAAATATTATCATATATGCAAGCTAATGATAGACACTGTGAAGGCTCATTATGCTTTAATGTCTCTCACAGTGTTTATTTAGAGAATAACAAAATCTCTGAAGCAATGCAGTATGTAAAGTAGTCTGTGGATGGGCAAGTATATGTTCTATTTCCTTGTTCACCTTGCAGAGTAACTTATTTGTTTGTTTTATTTTGACCAATGGAACCAACCAAAGCCAATAAATAAGAACTAAAGATAATTTACTGAACTATCTGAAATAACCCAAAAATGAATGGCCTCATTTTTAATTAGTTCATCTCAGGGTAAAGAGATACATAGTGGAGGGTGGATGTGAGATTACAGAAATAAGAGCAAATCAGAAATTTATCTTAATATAAAATGAGCTCAACTATTAGGAAAAAAACAAAAGTTTAGAGTAAAAATCTTAAAAGGAAATATAAGAAGAGAGAAAGAAGAAAGCATATTCTAGTAAGTGTTAAATCTTCTCATGATTTGGTTGAATGACCTTTTCTCTAACCGCATTTTGTCACCTTAGATTTTCCAACCATGACCAATACATCAATTGCCATCTGTTATGGACTGAAAGTCTGTGTCCCTCCCCACCCTCACCAGATTCATATGCTGAAGCCTGAGCATTCAGTGTGGCTGAGTTTGGAAATGGGGCCTTTAAGGGAGTTAGTAAAGTTAAACAAGGTCATAGGATGGGATCCAATAGGATTAGTATAAGAGGCATCTCACACATTCTCATTCTCTCTCATTCTCTCTCTCCTCTCTCTCTCTCTCTCTCTCTCTCTCTCTCTCTCTCTCTCTCCATCTCCTCTCCCTCTCCCTCTCCCTCTCCCTCTCCCTCTCTCTCTCACAGCAAGAAGGTGGCTATCTACAAACTAGAAAGAGAATAGTCATCAGAAACTGAATCAGTCAGCCTCAATCTCAATCTTTGATCTTAGACTTCTAGCCTCCAAAATGGTGAAAAAATAGTGTCTGTTGTTTAAGCCACCCAGTCTATGATGTTTTTTTATTTTTTATTTTCAATTATAATTGACATACAACATTATATTAGTTCCATATGTACCACACAGTAATTTGACATTTATATAACTTACAAAGTGACCCTGATAAGTCTAGTACCCATCTGACACCATACATAGCCAGAACAGATTGATACACAAATCAATGCAAGGCAGTATATGAATATCCCACAGAACATCTTCCCAGTCATCAGTTTCCTGGTACGATGCATCTTGATTTCAGCAGTTTTTAGTATATTTACCATGTTGTACAACAGTCACCATTATCTCATTCCAAACATTTTTGTCACCAAAAGAAACCTTTACACATTAGCAATCAATCCCATTTGCCCTTCCTCCAGTCCCTATCAACCTCTAATCCGTTTTCTGTCTCCTTATTTGCCTATTTTGGATATTCCATTTAAAGGCAGGAGGCGGGGAGGGGGCTCATACAATAGGTGGCCTTTTGTACATGACTTCCTTTATTTAGCGTATTTTTAAATCCATCCATGTTGCACACATATCAGTACTTTATTCTTTTTTTAAAATCCTCACCCAAAGGTATGTTTGTGGGGGATTTTTTTGGTGTTTGTTTTTCTGTTGAGAGAGAGAGAGAGAAACATCAATGTGAGAGAGAAATATTGATGCACTGCCTCCCATACCCACCCCTACCAGGGATCAAACCCACAACTTAGGTATGTACCCTGACAAGGAATCTAACCTGCAACTTTTTCCATGTTCCAACCAACTGAGCCACCTGGCCAGGGCAGTGCTTTATTCCTTTTTATGGCTAAATAATATTCCATTGTTTGTATGCCCCCCCCCCCATTTACCAATGTTGATGGACATTTTAATTGTTTCTAATTTTTGATACTTCTTGATTTTTAGTACTCGAGCTGCATACACTGTCAATGTTTTTCAGAGACATTTATATGGGAAAAATTTACATTTCCATCCTCAAAACTCAATACAACATTTTAAACAAAATGATATATGAGGAAATGTGGGAAACCGCCTATTGTCTTCACTGGCAGAGAAGTGTAGACAGAGAACCGGGAAGGCTGGTGACCTTTGAAGCCCTAGCAAAGGTCAGAGCTGTGCACCACCTCTGTTAATCCAGATAATGGTAGCTGAAGCAACCTCCCCACCTTTAGTCATGTAAATCCTTATTGATAAGAATAGTCCCGTGTGTCACTGGAACCTCCCTGCATAAGGGCTATACTATGGGTGGATCCCAAACCAAATAAAAGGTTGGTGCGGCCTGAGCACCAGTGGAAGTCTTTCCTCTTGAGTTGGACTTACCCGCCTGGCCCCCATTATTTCCAAATTATCTCTTGTCTCTTCTCTTTCATTTGTGTGCGGCTCCTCTTCCAGATCCTGAACCCTGAACCACGTGGGACCTGGAGGGAAACATTTACCACAAGGAAATTAACGGTTTATATTCTAACACATAGGTACTTTGAAAAGTATGTTGAGGGCCAATGAAGGGAAGTCCATGTGGGATATTTCTGGAGCTAAGGAAAAGATCAAAACATCACAGTCATCTATAGTGCATAAAGTTTACAGTAAAAAGTCTTGGTTTAGGTTCTTCAAAAACAGAAACCTAAGACAAGGATTCAAGTGCAAATACCTCTTTTGGCTAATGATCTGGGAAATGCCAGTAAAGGAAGTCAGTGTAGAGTACAGGCCTCAACATTACTCCCCCAGAGGGGTGAGGGAGCACAGTCCTTATTCTGGTCAGTCCCTGGGTGAGGACTGCTCCCACAGTTCTACCTGGCGACAAAGACCTAGTGAGGTCCCATGGACTCTGAGAGCCCTCAGGCAAAGAATCTCTGGTGCTGGCGCTGGAAATCAGCCATCAGCCAGAAAGGCCAGGGGAGATATGGGCAGTCACAGATGGTGTCTGTTACTGTGTTAATCAGGGTCCTCCAGAGAAGCAGAACAAACAGAACCAACACAGGAGGAGATATAGGAGAAGATACATTACAGGAATTGGCTCATGCGGTTATGGAGGCTGAGACATCCCACAACCTGCCATCTGCAGGCTAGAGAACAGGAAGCCAGTGGTGCAATTCAGCCCGAGGCCAAAGGCCTGAGAACCTTCCTGGGGCCTGAAGGACCAAGAACCAGGAGCTCTGACAGGGCAAGAGAAAATGGATGTCCCAGCTCAAGAAGAAGGAGGAAATGTATCCTTCCTCTGCCTTTTTGTTCTCCTCGGGCCCTCAACAGATTGGATGATGCCCACGCACATTGGTGAGGGTGATCTCTTTACTCAGTCTACTGAATCAAATGTTAATCTCCTCCAAAAATACCCTCACAGACACACCCATAAATAACATTTTACCAGCTATCTGGGCATCGCTTTAGGCCAGTGAAGTCAACACATAAAATTAGCCAGCATAGCTACATAGGACATTCAAATAGCGCACTTTACTGCACACAAACAATCGTTAGTTAATAATTATATTAATTTTTTTTGGTGATCAGAAAGTGATGATCGAGCAATTTATATCCGAACATGAACATTTTGTTTATTATATTCAGGCTTTTTACTCTGCTGTGTTACAGTTTAGGAAATGCTAAGCATTGACCAATAGCCATTGCAGTTTTTCCCACTTAAATTAATGGCAAATAGAACACCATCAGCGTTTGTTGCCTATAACACCTGATATCAGGACTGGAGTACTCATGTTTAAAGGAGATGCCTGTAATTAAGTCCTCTACCCCAGGTCAGATCCACCGTGGGAAAAGAGACATCCTTGTGCATGCGCCGCAGGGGGTGGGAAGTGCTTCACTGCACAGTCTGAGAGAGTGAGGAGGAAGAGCGGAAAGCAGAGGGGGCCTGATTGAGGGATGTGAGGGTGGGATGTATGGCAAGCCCACAGTGTAATCTTTTGGAGCTACCCTTCCCTAGACAGCATTTAAACTTATCATTGCTGAAATCATCTTGGGAGTACAGGAACTGGGCTCCATCTTTATATGACCACTAGAGGCCCGGTGCACAAAATTCATGCATGGGGAGGGTCCCTAGGCCTGGGTGGCGATCAGGGATGAACCGGTGGGGCAACTGGGGCCCCGCTCACACCCACCTTGGCTGGCCTGGTACCGCCCGCTCGCCAGCCCCGCCCCCCGCTGCTTCCGCTGGTCGGGGGGGCCTGCGGGCTGGGGGCATCTGCTGTGTTGAATGTCTGCCCCCTGGTGGTCAGTGCGCATCATAGCGACCGGTCATTCCGCCATTTGGTCAATTTGCATATTAGGGTTTTATACAGATAGATGAGAGCTGTTTGCTAAATAACTGTGTCTTCTAAATTTTTATAACAAATCAGAGGTACAGACATAGTAGTTTATCAGCTACTAAGTAATGTTGTTGGAAATCCTTAGTAAACCATTTATAAAAGATCACTCCCAATAACGCATGCATAAAATAAACATAAACACAGAGATATTTTTTCTGTTTCCTAAGGTTTCAACCCCTTTTACAACCACCTCCTAACACATGAGGGACATGGCACCTCTCTCCCCGCCAGCTTCTGGCTGCCTGGGCAGGGCTGCAGCAGGTCCCTATGGTTGCTAATGACCACATGGCCTTGTTTTGTTTTGTTTTGTTTTGTTTTGTTTTGTTTTGTTTTGTAGAATAACCTTAATGGTCATATTTAAGCTATCTTAAAGTTGTATTTCTATCTAATGAGAAAATGAAACAAGATGTCAGTAGAAACTGTTTCATATTAAACGGTCTACTAAACAGTGGTGTTTGTGGCACAAAATCACAGAAAATGTATCCATACCTTTACCACATTTTCCTGATGAGAGTGTAACTTTGAAATGGCATTCTCAGTGGTTAAAAATGTAACCCTTAAACCACCACCACCCAAAAAATGAGTTGGAGTGGAAGGGCTGGGGCTGAAGGTGATGGAAGATGAAGAGAGAGATGGCTCCCCAGGTGATTCAGAGACCTACCCCCCTGTGGCCATGGCCCTGCACCGCTCCAACATCATCTGCAGCATAACTGACCAAGAGCCCTGCACTGAAACCCATCATTGCGTTTGTGGGGAGGCCAGGATTCCAGCAGGCTATTCCCATCCTATGACTGAGTGCTGCAAAGACACTAAATACCAAGACAAGCCAAGTCCTGGGAGATGGGGACTTCCCTAGCCCGTGACTGGCTCGAGGACTCCATGGCAGCCTTGCTGAACCCTCCTTAGACTGTAGGTGATCTAGGGTGTTTCTGTCAAACCTTCCTTCTCTGTCTCCCTCAGTCAGAGTCAGGCTCTCATCACAGTTTGATGGTTCCCCAGCTTATCTGCCTTCCTCTCCACCTTCTCTCAAACAAATGTTCCCCTGACTAAAATCCTTTCACATCTAATCCCATTTTAGAGGCTTCTCAGGGGACCCAGAATAACACACTTTCTCAGTTTACAACCACTGATTTAGATTCTCCATGCCCAGAATTTCCGGCACTGTGTTAGAAATAGAAAGCGTATACCACTCAGTTTTACATGTTCTTCAGAATATTCCTCTAGCCAGGTGGCTGCTTTTCTATGACGTTATCTGCTACTCTTTATAATTTCCCCTAAAATAAGCCCTAAAATAAGCTCTTCCAGACTTAAATCCTGAACTTTAATTCATCTAATTAGTAATTATTCTCTAAATGGTGTCATAACCACAAAAAAAAGCAATTGGTTTCTTCTATACTTCCCTTTTTAAAAACATGTTTTTGTTACATTTTTGCTTCTTTGAGATGTTATGTTAAAACAAAACCAAAAAGATTTCTAGGTTCTGAAACACTGTTTGGTGATGTGACGATTCTCAACTTTTATTGGGTTCAGAGACCCTTCAGGGACCCAGCACTGGCCTCAGAAAAAGAATTAGGCATGAAAATTTTTACACAAAAATCTTAGGCTAAGGGTCTTTCTAGGCTAAAGGAGCATTTCACAGTGCCCTACTTGCTTCTCTTAATTGAATATTTTTGCTTGCTAATCTGAGCTGCTTTTGAAAAGGGAAAAGTCAAATTTGTTGTCCACACTGATTCTTTGGAATTTCTAAGTCAATAGAACAACAAATGTAAGTCTATCTAGCTTATATATGTTATAATAGTGATGATTTTTTTTTTACATAATCTGCAGATCTGAAGCAGAGAGCTTACAGGGGAAGATAATGTGGGAATATGGAATGTAGGCTCTGGAGACAGACTTCCTGGGTTTAAATTCCATACTGCCATTCCTTAAGTGTACCAAGCACTCTCTCACTTCAGGGCCTTAGCACCTGTTGTGCCCTCTTCCTGGACACCCCTCCTCTCAAATATTTACATGGCTCATTCCTTCGCTTCTTTAGCTCTTTTCTCAAGTGTGACCTCATCAGAGAGGCCTTCCCTATAGGAGCCTACTCTCCATCACTCTCTACCCTGACTTGACCTTATATTTTTTCATAGAACTATCACCACCAGCTTTATCATCTGCTTATTTGCTGTTTGTGTCCTCCTTAAAGGACATAAGCGCGCGCGCGCGCACACACACACACACACACAGCAGTCCCTTGCTATCCCTTGCTAGGAACAGTGTCTTACACATGGTAAGTGCTCAAAAATATTTGTTAAATAA